GTTTTTTTTTTTTTTTTTTTTTTTTTTTTTTTTTTTTTGGGGGGGGGGGGGAGGATGCAGCTGTCTTGAGGTCAGTTGACTATTTTCATTTTTTGCATGTGTTTTTCTTGAGTGTTTGTGTAGGTAACAAACTGTCAATTGCATTTTAAATCTGTTTTAATCCTCTGCTCACTTATTAATTGAAATAGGGAAGTACTGTACATAAATTCTCCTATCTACTTGTCATACTCAAAGGTAATTGACTTTAGTTGAATAACATTTATCAGAGAAATTGAAGAACATTGCCAAAAATCATTTCTTCAATTCTCTTGATAGTATTTAATCTAGTTATTATTGAAATGCCTGTCAATAAGGATGTTGCAGAAATGATATTACACTGAAAGTGTTTATCCTGTCACAACTAACACAGTCAGAAAAAAGATATAGGGACAAAATGAGACTGGGTTACTGACACTGTTACCTGAGGGAAATTGGCACGAATATAAGTACATTAAAACTTTGAGAATAAATTCAATATTTGACAGGTAAGATGTTTGTACAATGGACAGTGAAGGGGTACTTTTGTTGTTCACACTTCAACTCAATTTTGGTTATGAGAGGGGGAGGAAAATACTTGATGAAATAGTCTTCAAGTGCTTTTTAATGTTCAGCAGGTAGATTGACATCATCAGCCAATGTAATTTCCGTCTCTGTAAATGTATTTTTCATTGCACTGGTAGGTAAACTAACCGTAGGGATGATTCCAGCAGAAACTAGACTAAAACACATGGGAGTTATGTGTTCAGAAGTACAAGATAATTATTTTTCTTAAAATTTGCTTCACAGTTATTGAGTGATAATTCTAGCTAGAACATACAGGTTAGGCAAGAAAACAAATAGCATGAAGAGTAAAAGTAAACAAAAAACTTGGATGGTAATGATGGAATTTTGTCAGCATAGTCACCACTGATAAGGTGGATAAACAGGAGAACATGTTGATTGCTCTTCTCAGAAAGTATTTTATGTGATATAAGAAGTATCTGTCTGCTGACAAATTTAATGATCCTTTTAATGAATTATTACTTGATGATGGATTTTTAGCAAACATGATAATATGATAATGGGCTACTTTATCCTGCCCCCCAAATGCGTGCTTGCAAGTATGCACGCGTATGCAACCTCTCCACAGCCCTCCACACACACATACACACACGCACACACACACACACACACACACACACACACGCTACAGTCAAAATGAAATTTCTCACACTTCAGTTTCGTTTATCTGTGTACTTGTTACATTCTCTATGTTATAAAAAAAAAAGACCAAAGAAGAGTATTGACTGGACAGTGAGTGGTATACTCCTGCAGGGATACTGATGCATGAAGATGGATAAAACTTGGTAATTTGTAAAATTTAAGCATTGCAAGAGAGGAAAAATACACTGAAATGCACTTAGGTTTATCAAACAGTACAGACTGCTTGATTGGCATGTCAGACAGAATAAACAAAAGCTGAGGAAGAGTAATAAAATAATTTCAATTAATTAAGAAAGTGCAGTATTAAGACTTCAAGATTTGTGATGAATAGCTTTGTAAAAAGAAATTGAAGATTGAAGTTGTTGGTGTATTTTGGAAGGGAAATAAATTTAAGGTATTTTATAACTTTTCTAAAAGCCATTTCTTGGAACATCCATCAAGTCCATTTGACAAGATCTATTAAATTCTTAGATCTGCAACTATGATTGATGTTCTTTAAACAGTTAAATGTATACTTTGATTGAATTACTTTCTAGTCTGATGGTAAGGCAGTGATATTGTTTTTCCTTCTAACAATGATTTCAGTTTTGTTATAGATGGCTGCTGGCTTTATAAACTCCCTTCAACTAGCTAGTACATTTCTACCCAGGCCTGCCAATTTTTTGCTGTTCTGCTTTGCCAAGTCCTAGTGGGATTACTTTTTCTAGTCAAAATATAACCTAGATCAAATTTTGATTCAGAGTGAACCTTTTCTGGTCAAAAGAGCAGTTCTTCCTGCCCCCCCCCTGAACTGCCCCTGTACATCGTCCTGATATTAAAATTAAATTAGTGCTTTACTAGAAATTACTGATTGCCTCCCAGAAACTGGAGAAGGTTGTGTCCATCTGCTTCTGCCAGTATTAGACTTGTAGCAGTGACCTTAATGATACATGCCCAAAACTATCATACATTTTTTATTTTGTTTTGATACTCCTCATCCTCAACTCCACCATATAATTACCCACATATGAGTACTAATAAAGAGTACATCACCAAAGGAAGCAGTTAGCCTTTGAAATTGGAAACGGTGATTAACTTGGAGAAATGTTATGGTTCTCAAAACAGTTTGTTAAATGGAATTTGTAGTGCTGTAATTAATATTATATTTTTGTATGAGGCTGTTAGGAGGGATGAATATATTACTGTACTTGTTGCTCCATGCATGGCTGACAGGCTGTTTTTCCAACTAGTTTAAGATGTAAAAGGATGTAATTTAGGGTTTGTCAGGCTGGGTATGTGTTTTAAATATTTTTTCTCTGTGTGATGAACCACATAGTGATATGACCTTCACCAAAATTAATTTGATTCAAACATGTTTTGTATTTTCAGTCAAAGATATCTAAGCTGTGATGAACAAAAGCAGTTAGTAGAATTGGCTGTAGTCCAGTACTGTCCAGCAAGATGACCAGTGGGAGATCGTCCAGCCACAGTTATGCCTGTAATACCCTCGTCGTCTAGGAGGATCAATGTTTCTACCGTGGCCAGCAAGCTGTCACAAAACAATGCCACACCAGGGACAGCCACATATTTGCCTGCAATTAATGGAAGCAGAGGTGATAAGGACATAATTCAATAAATCAAATTAATTCTGTAAATGAAATGAAAGAAAAGCAATTCCTTAATATGATTGACTGGGGAAAGAAAATAGATTGAGTAAAGAATAATGTAGCAATTCGGAAACTAGTCTAGTTTTACTATAAATATTAGGTAGTCTGATCATGGATGTTTACTTGTTAATTTAAGAACATTCTTTTTCTTTCATGAACAATGCATATGGCATGCTAAGTCTTTTGGGTCCCATTTTACTGAGAATCTTATCCATGTTGCCTCAGCTGACTCTGTTGAGCTCCTATTAAGTTGACTAACCAGTTGCAGTCTTAAACATTTAACAAACATTAGTCCAGTTTTAATCACCACATTGATAAGAAATTTAGAGCAAATGCAGCTTGGCCTTTTGTCTTAAAAGTTAGCTTAATAAAGCATGCAACATGAGGTTAGCAACTCTTAAGATAGTTTTCAAATGTATCGTGGTCAGTTAAGATTTTTAGTCAAGTTTATAGTGTAGACCATCTGTTGAGCTCCCCCTTTTTATGTGTGCAAATTTAAAGAAGTTCAAGGCACTTTGTTACCAAGTGTGTTAGTTGTGTTAAATGTGCTTGGTTGGGACATTGACAAGTTCATAAAAAGCTGCATTGCACACTATACACTCCGCATGCAGTGTTAGGGTAAGCAAAACTCTCCATTTTTGAGAAGTTATAATTACAAAATAAAATTCTGCGTAATCGGCAAGTGAAACTTATCTCAAGGCTTATGTGCGTGTTTCTTTAAACATTTGTATTTCTCTACAAATCACATCTAAAAACAGAGCTACATTTTTTAACTTTTCAAAAAAAAATTTTTTTTTAAATATTGAGGTGTTGCAGTATTTTTCTTTTGGCAATCAATATGCACGGTTTGTAAACAAAAGTATATTTCTCAGATTAAGATACCTTCAAAGTTTGTGATAATGATGACATTATTAATCTTCAGTAAGGGCAGGTGTTTGTGTGTCAAACACGAGAACTGAAGCAATTAAGTCCCCATGTCTTGTTTTTGATAAAGTCAGGATCTTTGGGCTGAAGGAGATGACACCGGAAATTCATGTTCTTTGTTAATGATTATATTTATGATGCACTGTATTTTTTCCTGGAAAGTGCTATTAGCAGTGAAGCATTTTACTTCATAATGTAAATGGATTCAGGCAAAAGCATTATTATATGTAATGGAGCAACTAATGGTGCTTCTCTTGAGGTTAGGTAATTCTCCACAGGGAAAGGGGTCAGCTTACAACAATAAGTCAAGTAGTCAAACAAGTCAAACAGGGGCAAATCTCTTTTCTTTTTAATCAAAATCTTATTAGCAGTTACTATGGAGATTAGTTCTACAAAGGCTACATCTTCTTGGCATGTCTTGACAATGCTGCCTTTGCCTCAGAGGTTTTTCAATTTGCTCAGCTCTTCCAGTTACTGATTTTTGCTGCTTTTCTTTATGTTATGCATTCTCCTATACTGACTCGTTTTCTTACCTATTCTTTTACATGTAATTTTCATCTTCCACCCCTATTGAATGAATATTTGCCTCTCATCCTTCTGTGCTAAGGTCTTTAAAGTTGTCCACACTATAAGCGAATATATTATTGTATATTATCAAATAAGTATATGCCTAATCCAACCCTCTACATAATCTACACAACTTACATATGTCATTGCAGGGGCGGATTTAGGCCGTCTTCTGGGTCTTCCAGAAGACGGTCAGATTTTCAAGTTTACATTGACAGGTATCTAATGTTTTCTGTCGGAAGACGGTCAGAAATGTAGGATGGATCAACAAAGATAATTTGGAAGACTGTCAGAAAATATCTCTGGATCCGCCCCTGCATTGTAAATATAAATTTATTCAATATGTGCAATGACATCTGTAATTGCACATATTACTTAAGTTAATGCTTTCAGATCTTGTGATCCTAAGCACCCAAGCTACAAAATATCATATGTATATGTTTATATGCCTTTCTGTAGCTAGCTAACTAAAGTTATTCATGAGCCTATGTCAGTAAGTAAAAAAGTATAACATGTTGCCTGAAATTCTTCAACAGCAGGGAACTTGCATGTATCTCTAATTTCCATAATATTAAGTGTAAAAGCTTTTACGTGCTTGCCTATCTGCGGTTAAATAAGCATAAGAATAATATTTTCTTACTATCACGGCTTATGAGTTTATGGTGATTATATCAAGCATGCTGGGTAATAATCCTGACAATTTTTTTAAACACGAGATAAAAAAAGAAAAGATAACTTATTCTTTGCAAAAAAAAAGTGTGTGTGTGTTTGTGTCACTTGCCTGAGGTGCTGAGAAGCCACACATTAATGTTATTCTGTGCCCAATTTTTTTATCATTTGTCATAATTCCAGTTGATTCTCCGACCGCTCTTGATGTGTCACCCAGCAGTGAGGCTGCAGTAACCTGGGGAGCAGGGATAGGCTTGACTCTCCTCATCTTGCTCCTTGCTACTCTCCATTATATAAGGCAAGGAACATTTTTCATGAACTGATTAATAAGTTAATTTATGAGTTTGATTATTTATTAATGTGCCCTTGTTATTATTTTTTATTTGAAAGAGTTTCTAGTCAACAAAGTAAGATACATTTCCTTAGTTTGATGAGGAATAAAAATTAACAAAGCAGGGTTTAATCTCTCAAAGATGAGCCTACTCTATGCAGCCAAATTGTGATATTTTAGATATAGATTTACATGTTATTTAGAACACATGTTTGTAATGATAGCAAATTCAGAACACCACCCTCAATCATGTCAGCTTTATCAACATAATTTAAAGAATGATTACAGCATTGTGAAGCAAAATGGGACTGTTATTCAAATCTCTATGTACACATGCTCAACATGTGCTGAATCAAAACCATTTCTGAAGACAGCCAAGTGTAATCTTAACACATCAAATAGGAGGAAAAAAGTACTGTAAACATGTTATCTTAATAAATATTTTTTAAAATGACACATTATTTTAGGCGCTTATCAGATATTATCTCAAAAACAATATATCACTTACTTCACAGTGCTGTGTACACATATCCCCCCAGGGGCAGATCCAGGATTATTTGAAGGGGCGGTCTGGAATGACAGGCCTCGGATTCAAAGCTGACCATCGCCCCCTTATTGTGGAGTTCGGGGCCACTCAAGGGCCCCGAAAAATTATTGGCGTTTTGGAGAGCAAACAGTGGCCTTTGATACAGTTAGATCTATGATTTAGCTAGTCGAAATTCTAATTTCAAGAGGGGAATATTGGTTTGATATATGTGACTCCCCTCTCTAAATCCGCCACTGTCCCCCTTCAATGATGATATACCTTATAATTGTTTGGCATGAACCCCCTGACCTTTCTATTTTATTGTATTTTATCTGATCTGATGAAGAATGTGTAAATTTGCTGAAGTATTTGAAACTTTAAGACTGTCACTTTCTGAGACATAAAGTGATTACCTTTACCTGTATCTCCCACAAACTGTTCTTTGGGTAGAGAGAGAGAGTTGAACCAAATTAATTTTTGATACTTTCTTTTTCAGGAAAAGAGCAATGTCCCCCAAACAACGTCACAAGAGAAAACTGCAGCGAGAGAGGAAACGTAAAGGTATGTTGTCATTTGCATCAAAATGAACTATTTAATTACGTAAAACATGAATTCACTAATTGAAATGTGATAACTGCCAAGTTGGTCTTCCTGCCAGGATGTTTGCACTGTAAGAGTTTAATGAAAGGACTGTTGCCCCTATTTCCACATATATGTACCCATTTCCACACACACACACACACACACAATAATAACATTCACAGGCCAGTAGCCAGCAAATTCAAAAGGGGGGTTCTTTTTCTGAAAAAGTGGTCCTTTTACAATGAAACTTATGTGTACCTAGATAAAATTTTACCCAAAATGGACCTTTTCCTGACAACAGGGGTGGTTCTTTCGAACCCCCCGAACCCCACCTGGCTACGGGCCTGTTTCACATGTTTACCATTTAGTGATTGTTAAATTATCACTCATTGTCAATGTTGTTTATACCCGCTTGTGAACTAGTGCCCATTGTATCAGGGATAATCCTGGGCCGTGCGATTGCGCCAAATGCGCGACCCTTTTCTGAAAGTCGCAAGTAAAATTTTAACCTGCGCCATACTGGCGCGTACAAATAGCAAACACTATTTTTTGTAATAAAGATTTACAAACATTATGATGTCGCTCCAAGTGCGCGTAGCGATGCTGTGAGGGCTGACATGTGACCCGTTTCACAAAAAATTTATCGAAACTGATACAATTACGGCTCAATGAAAAACGTACTGCTCAAGACACTGAAAACAGGCCGCTCAAACTGCTTACGATCTGCCGCGCACAGACCTCTGAGAACACCTAACTACAAGTGCTAGGTAAACAAATATGGCTTCCGTCGGACCGCATGTTGAGTAATCGATAAGTGAAAAGGAGAAATATTCATTAGCTTTTTTAATGGGTGCTCTTAACTAACTTTAACGGATATTTTATGTAATATTGCACCTTTAGCGGTGCTGCATGTCAAAATGAGGGGCAACATCGTTTTCAATGCGGAAAATCCGAAATAGCACAGTCAGGATGAAAAACTGCCCATTATACTCATCTAAACGAACTAGCTTAGACATTGAAAAAATATGCACTTTTTTTTGGAGGGGGGGGGGGGGCTGTGCAAGTGGAAACTATCTGGGGCCAGTTGAAACTTGCAGAGAAAAGGTCCACTCTGGGTAAATTTTCATCTAAGTACATGACTTTTTTTTATGAAAATAAAAGTCCACTTTTTCAGAAATTGCTGGCTACGGGTCTGCTGAATGAGAGCAATGGCTTTTTTTTTTTTACAAAAATTAATAGGAATTGTCAACCTTTTTCATGCAGTGCAATTATTCGGCATAGTGCAATTATTAATTCTGAAAGATTTTTTTCCATTAAGTACAATTTTTCGAACAGTACAATTGTTAATTTTGGAAGATTTCTCCATACACTACAATTACTTAGGACTTCAGAGTAGTAGCATCAAGCCTTTTTTCATTGTTTTTAATCATATAAAAATATGGAAATATAATGAATTTTCTCTCAATAATTTACGGCACACATTTTTAAAAAATGGCCCACTTTTTTTGACCGAGTTGGCCAAAATGGCCCAACCAGATTTTGACCCAGGACAATCCCTGTTGTATAAGCATACATGCACTGTAGAAATAATACATACAGTGTATCTGCACTAGATTTTTTTAAAGGAAATCTTATTTCATTAAGGATAAGGATTATGGATAGTTTCAGTACCAGATGATGAGCAATTTGTGAAAAAATATATAATGGAATTAGCACTTTACGTAATTTTTATATTATTAAGTTTTAAAAAAATTTAAATCCAGATTGCTATTGGATAGGGAGATTCTCCTGTTTAACACCATTGCAAGTTGTACAGTAATGGTTACTCTGTTGTGGCAAAGGTTTACAGAAAATGTTTTGTTTTTACATTTGGAACAAAATGCACCAATTTGAGGGATTGCCTTACTTTTGTGAATGCTTAAACAATTTCTCATTGAAATATGTTTTTAAAAAATCGTCCCTTTTGCATGGTTTTATGTTCATATGAATTTATGATTGTGTTTATATAGGGCTAACATACATCTGAAAATAATGTCACTTCTTGTGCTCAGAGCTGAAATATCATACTGTATTATACATTCCGATATATAAGTCTTGGTCATGTGTAAACTTCTATTTATTGAAGTGGTATAAACATGTTGTTTATGAAATGGTTTGGTTCTCCATATAAATTTTCTGTAGACATCTACCAGTTTGTGCTTAGTGAAAGTTAATTGATTATTAGTGACTATTAATTTTTCTCGAAAAAAACTAAAAAACAAAACACCAGAGGAACTATGGTAAATAGCACTGCAACAAGATGGCGCTAGTGTGCAGGACTGCCCACATATTAGGTCCCCAGCAGTTGATGGCAAATACAATACCAACAGTGTAACTGAGAGTGAGCGCCTGCCAGCATGTATAAATAAGCTGAGCCGTGAAGCAGTCAGTTCAAACATTCAATGTTGAAGAAAAAGGACATACGTGTGATTATGGAGTGCTAGCTGAGTTATTGATTTGTCAGATAATAATGGGCGGTAAATTGTCACCAACAAAGTGAATGATGAACCTGCAGCAGTAACCTTGCAACAAATGTGGCGACAGCACACAGGCCTCGTTGGATAATCACTCAAATGCCATGCAATATCAGCATACATATACTTCTTTCATCCTGTGAATTGTTGAATCTTTTTATGTATACAAATTCATGCCTTGGCACGAGTTGGTGACACTGCTTTTAAACTGGGCCCCGGCTTGGTTGAGCCAGTGGATTAAAATGAGTGAGTATCAATTCAAGTATGCACCAAAACATGTAGAATACAGGTAAATGCAGGTGTATTTAGCAAAATTCAGTGTTGCTCTAGGCAAGATAGCAAGATTTAAAAATCCTGGATCCTGCTCTTTGAAGTCGGCATATAAGTTCACTGTAGGAGATGCATGCTTGTATAAGCTACATGTACTTGTCAGGCACATGTACTAAAATGTGACATAATACCTTTCAAATTTACCTTGGTAATTGTGGTGACAGGCATCTGGACCCTGTAGGTGGAATGGGCTTTCAGTTATGAGTTCTTATGTGTGCTTCAAATTCTCACAGATAGCTTACTGTGTGACCACCTTTACACAGCTGTACCTTGATCATTCACTAAGACAGTTTATTATTTTTTATGAAAAAATTATCAAAAGTGAATCAAAAAGTTATAGCCAGATAGGTCAGTGACTTGCAGAGTGGAGGAAGAAGGGACAAATCTTGTGCAATCACTTGATACAAAATTTGAATTTCTGTTTAATGATTTTTAAATTTTTTGTAAGTTCACATCAAAACACTCATTAATTGCCTAACCAGTAAAAATGATATATATTAGTGTCAAAGGTTCTTGTCAACAAAAGCTATTTTCTGTACAAGCATGGATGTTTTTCATGTACATTTGTTTACAATTGGCAGTTAAGAAATGATGTAGGCCATATATAATCGTTGCCCAAAGATATTTGAGAGGATTTAGTTTTAACACCATACAAGTTTGAATGTTTAAGGTCAGATTTATTTGTTCAAAAGTCCTTTACCTGTTTGCACAGTTAATCTTCTTTTTATTAGTCTGCTAATTCCTTCTTGATTGAATTTACACCCATTGTTGGAAACCAGTTTGATCAGTGTATTGGATTTCATTGTGGGGGCATTTCTTACAAATCTGGTCTTTAACTATGAGAATAATTTGATGGTGGTTTGCTCTTGGCAACTTCAATGAACACAAACCTCTGAGAATGCCTCAGTGCTGAATATTAACAGCATTAACTGAAAGCTGTTACATAAGAGATTTGAAAATTTCAAGCGGTCTTTTTAATGATATATGCTATTTACATGGTAGATTATTGTGAAAGTTTCATTTTGTCATAAAAGGAACGAAGGGTCGTCAGAGGGCAGAAATACACTTAAGTCACATGGTCAGTGGATGCAAATAAAGTATGTCAGTCCTTCATGTATAACTGAGACCCCTGGATAAAGCAAATAATTATTATTTCTTGTTTCGACTGCAAAAAAGCTTATCTATTTCCAATGGCAATACAGTCTTCAGAGATGAAAGAACAATTCTTCTATTTTTGTCATGGAGAAATGTATTAGCTCTCAATTATAGATTTTCCAAATTACCTCAATTGTGGGTAAAATATTAATAAGCCTTTCATTTCAGTGGAATTAGATTGGTGAAGATAGACTAAACACAAGGAAAGAAAATTTTGCCTCTTATGTTAAATCTTTCCCTGACTGAAGAATGTACGGAGGTGGAGCTTTTTTTTCTACAGAGAGACCAGGTTAAAAGCAATTTGTGTGCAAAAATTTGCTGGTGTAAAAGTATACGCACTTTTTTCTTGGAATTGAAGCAGGGGTAATAAAAGCTGCCAACTGGTAGATAAGCTGTTGGCCATTGTGTGGCAGCCCAGGAGCTCAATATTAAAACCAGCTTTGAAACATCATTTCCATCTCTCTCATTCTGATGTGTCATTGTTTTATCTTTCAATTTTGTAGAGCAAGTGGTTTCACTTAACAATAAATCAAATCTTTTAATTAACACCTTAATGACTGAGGTCTTATACAAGTAGATATGAAGCCTTCTTCCTTTCTAAAAAAATAGTATTGAAAGGTTGCCAATCTGTGAATCATTTAAGGCATAAACCTTTTTTCTTCAAAGGATTTGTATGATATAGCACAGATGTGTTATAAAAGATCATTTTGGGAAAAGGAAATTGGGTTTGAATCTAAATTATTAAGTTGTCTAGAATCTTTTGTGAAAACGGGGAAAAATTGAATCGTCACATATTCCGAAGAAATCTATAGAAAATTTGCAATCTGATGAAGTTGTCACAACAGAGCAATACAGCTTTGGAAATTTCTCCATATTGGCAACAGTGACATGAAATGCAATAATGCTTTCCTAGATATCTTTCAGATCACAAGCTTATTACACATACTATACCTATTCACCAATGGTGGCCACAATGTCCAT